GGTGACCCCCTTGCCGGACCAGGGCCCAGCAACGGGATCGCAACCCTCGGGGTCACTCCCGCGCCTCGCTCAGCCAGTGAGCGGGAACCGGTCTGTATGTGGGATCCGAACCCTCGGGCGGGAGCGCCACCGCACTTCCCAAGCGGCGCACTTATCCATTGCGCCACCGGGCCGGCCCCCTAAAGGCCCCTTCTTTTGAATACCATAATTGGATTTCTTAAGTTTCCAATCCATGAACTTTTGGGGATTTGACCCATAGCACTCCCTTAACACTGTGCCAAGGTTGGAAACATGAGTTTCCTTGTAGCCCCTGGTAGATGGGTAGAGGATGTAACCCTTTAATGTCCCAGCTTTCACAAGATTACTCCATGAGACTGCCCATCTTGGGAAGTTTTTCTTTCTTAGTAGCATATATGTTAATGTTACAATCAATGGCAAGTTCAATTCCATAAAATACGGCATGTGTTGAAAATTTTCCCAGATTGTATAGTTTATCATGTTTTTAATGTAACAAGTCTTTTACTTCTCAGGTAGTCAAACTGATTGATATTTTCCATTTTGGTTTCATAATCTATTTTTTATAACAACTTCATTGAGATATAATTCACATACCATAAAATTCATACTTTTAAAGAATACAGTTTTGAGGTTATTAGTACACAAAGTTGTGCAACCATCACCACTACCTAATTTTAGAACATTTTCATTACCCTAAAAAGAAACCCAATACCCATTGGCAGTTGCTCTCCATTCCCTCCTCTACCCAGCCCCTGGCAACCACTAGTTTATCTTCTGTTTCTATGGTTTTGCCTATTGTGGACATTTCATAGAAATCATATAATATGTGACCTTTTGTGTTTGGCTTTTTTCACTTAACATATTTTCAAGGTTTATCTGTGTCACAGCATATATCAGTACTTTATTCTTTTTTATTGCTGAATAATATTTCATTGTATATAGATATACCACATTTTGCTTATATATTCATCAGTTGATGGATACTTGGGTTGTTTTCATTTTTGGATATTATGAATAATGCTATTCTGAGCATTCATGTACAAGTTTTTGTGTGGATGTATATGTTTATTTTGTTTGAGCATATACCTAGGAGTAAAATCTTTGGGTCTGATGGTAACTCTCTATTTAACATTTTGAGGAATTACAAAACTTTTCCAAAGGAGCTCTACCGTTTTACAATTCCACCTGCAACATATGAGTGTTCCAGTCTCTCCACATCATCACCAATGTATGTTACTGTCTTTTTTATTTTAACCATCCTAGTGGGTATGAAGCAGTATCTCATTGTAGTTTTGATTTGCATTTATCTAATGACTAATGATGTCAAACAACTTATCATGTGCTTATTGACAGTTTATATCTTCTTTAGAGAATTGTTTATTCAAATCCTTTGCCCATTTTTAGTTAGGTTATTTGTCTATTGTTGAGTTGTAAGAGTTCTTCATATATTCTGGACACAGGTCTGTTATCAGATATATGATTTACGAATATTTTCTTCCATTCTGTGGGTTATGTTTTTTTTTATTTTTTTGATAGTATTTTGGGAAGCACAAAAATTTTTAATTTTGATGTACTTCAGTTTGTTTTTTTTTCTTTTGTCACTGGTGCTTTTGGTGTGATCTCAGATTCCATTGCCAAACTCAAGCTCATGAAGATTTATTCCCATGTTTTCTTTTAAGAGTTTTATAGTTTTAGCTCTTACATTTATGTCTATAATTCACTTTAACTTTTTTGTATATGCTGCAAGGTAGAGTTCATCTTCATTATTTTGCCTGTGGCTATCTAGTTGTCCCACCATTGTTTGTTGAAAAACCTGTTCTTTTCTCCCACTGAATTACTTTGGTACCTTTGTTAAACATTAATTGACCACAAATGTAAGGATTTACTTCTGGACTCTTAATTCTATTCCATTGATCAATATGCCTGCCCTTATACCAGTCCCATACTGTCTTGATTACTTCAGCTTTGGATTGTAAGTTATGTAAACAGGAAGTATAAATACTTCAACTA